TACTGAGATGTGTGAAACTTCTTCTTCAGTTATCTGTTAAATATTACTGTAGTACCAGTGGGAGGCAAATACCAGAGACTGTTATGTTTAGATAAGACACACTGAAAACCCCTTGTTCTGTAGAAAACATGTCCTTGATGGATGAGTCAGATGCACAATGTATAAAAATATTTTTTAATGTGTCATAAGTGAAAAAAAAACAAACAAATAAATTATTTTTGGCTTCATACCACGTAGTACTCTTTGTGATACTGAGAATCCTGTACTTTGACCACAAGACATGGAAAGATAGAAAGTCAGTTTTCCTACAGGAAGCAGGGAACAGTTGAATCATCATCCTGACACTTTGTTTGGCCCGAACAGCAGCTCCCAAGGCCAAGTCAGAGGAAATACAACAGGTGTTTTCCATGCATATGAAAACGTGTACGAGTTTGAAGAACTTTGGAACCGAAGAAGAGAAACTGCCCAGCATGCCTTTGATAAAGAATTTCTTCATGACTCTTAACAAATACGATGCATTCTGTGGAAAACGTACGACAATTGAATGCAAGATTAAACAAGCTTGTGTTCAAGTGAAATTATCATAAATATGTGTATTTACATGACTGGATATATTTGTATCCATACAGTCTGTCCCACGGGTTCACAACCCACACGGGCTGAATCCCGTTTCACTGCAGCTCTTCATCACTGTCGTCCACCTGCTGTATGATGAGGTCAGCGCCGGAGTCTTCAGCCAGCTCGTCGTCGTCGTCGGTCACCATCCAGGTCCTTTTGCCGTCCCCTTCCTCCTCCCCGTCCACGCCCAGCAGCAGAGCCGGCTCATCGCTGGCTGGGTCCAGACCATCCATCGGGATGCTGTCGCAGCCCACTTCCTGGATGCACACGGCGCACATGCGGTATCGTCGCGTGCCCTCACACACCACGTGTCCTGTCTCCTCTGTCACCTGACACTTGCACTTCCTGCACACCAGCTTCCTGGCCTGATGGATCTGTGTGAAGGACAACAGCGAACACACACACACACACACACACGTAAAGCTGCTCCAGCATCAGTAGAACAGTGTGACTCTTCCTACACCTCTGACCTCATATATTAAAACACTCAAATCCAACCACCGTATTTTCTGGACTATAAGCTGCTCCAGAGTATAAGTCGCAGCAGCCAGCTACAGTGCCCTCTAGCGGCTGTCAGTGTTATATTTTTTAACATACGTCGCACCTGAGTCGCAAACCCAGCCAAAGTATGGGAAAACAAAAGTGCGACTTATAGTCCACAAAAGTGCAACTTATAGTCCAGGAAAATACGGTTTTATGTAAATGTACCCACTGTCTCAAAATGGCTGCGGAGGTGCTCCAAACGAGTGAAGCGTTTATTGCAGGCCTGGCAGGGGTACGGCCTTTCCCCGGTGTGACAGCGTAAGTGCCGCTTGAGGTCCGCCTTCCTTTTGACCGTGTGGGTACAGAAGGGACATTTGAAGCGCATGCTGGGGTTGGGATCTGCGAAGAAGAATTCATTCGTTTCATTTTAGGTTTTTTCACGACCTCTACATGTGTCTGAGGAAAATATGTGGGTCACGCCTGACTGACCTGCGGACAACTGCCATCAGGCCGGCGGTTACCAAATGTTTTTTGAATGTCAACATGAACACAGCTATTGCTACAAAACTCCAGTGAATTCTATGTCATTCCTAAACACTGATGTTCTCACTGAAGGGAAAAGGAAGTCAAATTTAAAAGTGATTTTGCACCTCACCTGCAAAAACTCCCCGCCCCCCACTTTGGGAACCGCTGCATTCATCGAACGTAGAATCTGTTCAATAATTACATCCATATTTTTGTTAATAAAAATGTAATTCAATCTCATTTCAAAATGAATATATCCGTTTACAACATGGTGCTGAGACAGTGGTGCAGACGAGGGCAAAGGGCAGAGGCCGGAGCTGGAGCTGGGGGTGGAGGTGGTGTAGTTGGAGTTTTATACTGGGAGGAAGTATTAAACATTAAGGTACGGACAGAAGCAGCTTGGATATAATTCAAATCCTAACCCACGTTCTGTTCCAACACCTGAACGTCTCTTAGCCTTACGCAGGGACCTGACGTCTGGGTTTAATAGTGGGTTTTTAGGAGCATACTGCCACCTACTGGACTAGAGTGTGTAGTGTCATGGTATGACCAGTGATTTTTTCAGATAATGCAGTCTATTCCTTAGGCCTTGATGAGTGATTCATTTTTTATTTCAACCGATGGGAATTGTCACACATATGTATCGATGTTTAAGCAATTCACAACGCATCGTTACGTCAGTATTTACTACTTACTTGCGACTACATTAACTGCTTTAACTGCAGTGACACTAAAACTTCCCTTTCTTGGAAATACAGCGCAACTACATTAACTGCTTTAACTGCAGCGACACTAAAACTTCCCTTTCTTGGAAATAAAAATGTGTTTTATTAATGTTTACTAAATTGTCCAATCTCTACCTCCACATAAACCTCACCTTTATTAAAGTGTCCGATCACACCAACAATCTGTGGTAAAGATGCGTACAGCTCCTCCGCCTTCTCCGCCTTCTGTGTCGACGCGTCCTGGATCTCCAAGTCCTCCTGCTGGTTGGCCCGGATGCTGTTGGACGCTTTCCTCTTTGTTCCCCCTCTACTTCGCCGGCGCTCTGATCTGGGTAAGGTGTAGAGGGGGTCATGTGGGTCGTGGTAGTCGTCTACATCTGCCCCCAGCTCATTGGCAGGACTATTTGGGTTCGTCTTAATGGATGAGAGGGAAACCTCCTGGTCCGCGTCCTTCCCCATGAAGCCAGACTGAGATCGGGAGTTGTCCCTGGTCCAGAGTGCAGGCGGTGGACTCACAGAGCCCTGCTGTTGCTGTTGCTGCTGCTGCTGCTGCTGCTCTGAAGACTCTTCCCCTGCTGCACTGGTGAAACTGCAGGTCTCTGACAGGCTGAGGCATCGGTCACTGTCTTCATCTTTTGCACTGATATCCAAGGAGGACTTGATGAAGTTCTTGCAGTAGCTGATGACATTGTTCATCTGCAGGTAGCTGGCTGCAGACATCACCTCAATCACGTTGTGACTGGAAAGGTCCAGCTGGCCCGAGTAGATGAAGTCCAGGATGACGGTGAAGGTCTCGGGACTGAAGGCGTCGAAGGTGGCGTTGACCGACTCGGCCAGTCCGTCAGGCCCCTGTGACAGCAGCATGCGGGAGGAGGCCCCTGTGACAGCAGCATGCGGAAGTAGCCGCTGCTGGCGAACAGAACGTTACGATGGGCCCTGAAGAGTTGACCCTCCACCAGCACGCTGCAGTCGCAGAAAAGCTCCTGACGTCGCTGCTGATTCAGCTGCTTCAGCAGGTTGGTCTGGTGAGCCACCGTGATGTCGGCCGTGTTGAACCACCTCTGAGGCTGCCTGCAGGAGAAACACAACCACGCGTTGATAACTGTGTGTGTATGTGTGTATGGGTGTGTGTGTGTGGGGAGGTGTGTCACAGCAGAAGTACTTAAAAACTGGTCTTGATTTCTAGAAGATGTTTCACCTCTTCATCCAAGAGTCTTCTTCACGTCTAACTAGGGATGTCTGATCATATCGACTGACAAATTTTAACGGCCCAATATTAGCTTAACTATGTCATATCGACAGGAATCGTTATCGGTTTTTCCTCAGATAATGAAAACCCGATAATGCAATGTCTGTGAATCGCCAAAAACAAAAAAACAGTTTTAGGGAAAAATGGCTGCATGTGAAAGTGAAAGCCACTAGATGGCAGCATTGTTGTGGGGGTGGGGAGGGGGGGTGAAAAACTGCTTTAACACATCACTTCAATAAACAGGCGACACTTAACTTCCTTAACCACCAGGGCCACCACTGCCCTACTATATCGGAATCAGATGAGCTCCACCCACTCATTCAGCTCAACCAAGACCCGAGGATGTCTTCGCGTATCCATAGTAACGATTGAGTACCAGGAGAGTAATGACTGTACCAGGTAAAAGTCAGCGGCGTCACCATGGAATTTCAGTCTCTGTCGTAGTTTCAGTATGATTTCGTAACCAGACGCCGATGCTGCTACGACGACAGTCATGCCCACAGAATATTAACTGCTTCTTTCTGTGTCAAACTTTGAATAAATCAGTACAAACTCTACTGCCCCCCCTTCTCCTCCTCCTGTCACCTTATAAATATTTTTCTAGATCTCCCGCTGCCTCTCAGAGATGAGTACGCAGGATTCCCCCTCAGAAAAGAGAATAATCCTCTTAGTCTTTTTAACTGGGTCACAGTAAATACACTGTTCGTCAGCAGACTTCTCACTCCTTCTGGGTTTTCTCCTTTCTTCCCTTATTTTTGTAAACCGTTGCGACCCTTCTGTGTTAAAGTTTACCAGCTGAAAATAGGACCCGCGGGTGTCAACATTATAGTTCGGCATCGTTTGACGACTAAGATGTTGTAGACACGTGATTTACTTACGTTTCATTTCTATGTCACAAACTACAATTTTCACTCTTTTGGTGTAGATTTTTTTTCATCTGATCATTTTAATTTTTTACTTACTATACTTGTAATAAGTAAATAATTTAATTAAAATAAATTTAATTAATTTTTCTGTTATTGAGGTTTTTTTCATTGACTTTCAAAAGCAGTTTCACCCTGGAAACATATATAAAAATATATAAAAAATATATATAAATATATACATATATGTATATACAGTATATATTTATATATTTTATTCACGTGTGTGTATATATACAGTACATATATAAATATATGTTAAAATACACACACATATATGTACATATATACAGTATATTATATTGAATATTTCTGATCCGTTGATTGACAAACACGAGTTGTCGATTAATCGAGTGATCGGCGACCTGTTGAGGTTCTCCAGTCATTTACCTTGTCTTTGTCCCTGAACTGTGCCAACACCACGTCTGCACAAGGGACTGCCTTCAGACATTTGCTGCGCTCTGATTGGCTGCCCGAGCCTTCGATCACACCACCTCTTCTAATGGGACTACACCCGACTCCAGTCGGAGAGCATCGGGTGACAAAACCCAATAATCATAGCCGAGGTGGGGGTGGGGGGTGGTGGTGTAAAACCTCACATCAGAGTGGAGGGGGAGGGGGGGGGGGCTGGCGGACCTCCTGCTCCTCCTGCTCCTCCTGCTCCTCCTGCTCCTCCTGCTCCTCCTGCTCCTCCTGCTCCTCCTGCTCCTCCTGCTCCTCCTACCTCCTCTCGCTCCTCCTCCTCCTCCTGCTCCTCTTCCTCCTCCTCCTCCTCCCCCTCCTGCCACCGCTGCTGTTCACTCCCAATCACTGGTTTTCCTTTCCAATAATGCGTCGCTCACTCTCAGCCTCCGTCGCAGCGCCCGGTAACCGACGCGGCAACGACGCCCGCCCGTCAGTCCCCACACCTACCCCACACGCTCACACCTTCACCGTCAAATCCGCCGCTAATTCAGGCAGCAGTGGACCCAGAACAAACGCTGGAGTGCTGCAGTCCTGAGAGAGGAAAAGCGGGCAGAATCAGAATCAGCAGCAGCAGTAGCGACAGAGGCGGCGGCAGAGGCGGCGGCGGCGGCGGCGGCGCTCCGGAGCAGCCCCGTCTGTCCTGAAGCGACGCCCACTTCAGGCTCCGACAGCAGCACACAATAGAAAATCAGACACAAACCTCCAGCAGCGACGCCAGAAAACATTCCCTCTCCCGGTGAGCTGCAAGGAGGGAGAAAACGCGCTAACACACCCGCTTTTTTTTCTTGAAACGCCGCCCCCACTTCTGAGCCGGAGGTCCGGAGTGCAGCGAGCACCGCGGAGGATTTAGGCTGCTGCCTAAACCCAGCGACTCCTCCGCAGGCGTGAGGCGTCGGCAGGACCCGCTTACACCCCACGCTTAGAGAAACCTCAACAAAAAGCATCGATACTCACTGGTGACTGGATTCACCCGGCGCCCGGTATAGTCTACTCGCCCCCAAGTCTGTCACCATATCCATTTTCAAATATTTATTCCGTTTATTCTCCTTCTGTGCTGCCTTTTTCTCGACCAGGGTCCAGGCAAAGCACTTCCTGCTCAGCCCTAAAGACCGAAACCCGGTTAGAGCGAGTGGAGTGGCAGCACTGTGCTGACGTGGGTGTTTATTAACTGGGTGCCCGAGGGTTCAAGGAGCCATTTAAAGCCCCAGTGTCCCGTTTAAATGGAGGCCACATTACCGTAATATCGTGACCAAACGGAGCAGTATTTATTGTCTACTACAGGGACGTTACATCCCGATAAAACGACATACATATACTGTACATATAAAGATGTGACGTCACTTTTGGTAACGCAGTCACAGAACAACAAAAGAAGAAAAAAAACTACGTTTTCAATGTATGAAAAATAATTTATTAATTCATAATTGTTATGTCTTATAGATTAATACATGAATAGAGAAAATAACAATTATTTCATCGGACACTGATTATAATAATAATAATAATAATAATAATAATAATAAAACTGATTCAACAGCACACAGAAAACATGATTTTTTGTTTGTTTGTTGTTTTTAAAAAAATCACGAGTTAATCACGAGTTAATGAGACTGCAGAGCTTGACTTCCTCCTGAGGTCAGATCCAGATGACAATGATTTAAAAAAATATTCTCTCACGCCAGCGTTCAGTTACATCAAGAGGCTGGACTGTAACCACTGGGGTTCATGGACTGCCAGCGCCACAGATCCTCACCTGGGGGAAGACAAGAAAAATTACAATAATAATAATAAAAAAGTGATTTATGTATTTCTCTGGAGGATTTAAATAAATAATTAAAAAAAGGGTTTGTGGAAATTTACACATTCTTTCCAGGTCTAATTCAGCCTTCCAGCCCAGCTCCTTCTCCGCCTGACAAGGGTCAGCGTAGCACGACGCGGTGTCTCCCGGACGACGAGGGGCAATCTTGTATGAGATCTACAAGAACAGACGCTGTCAACAACTATCCTGGAGTTATATCTGGAGAACGCAGGTTCTATGGACTCTGCTGTCAGAACTTCATTGCCCTGGGACACTACTTCTCAAATAGTGGGGCGGGGCCCCCCTGGGGGAGCACTATGAGGTGCCAGGGGGGGCGTGAGGGGCTTTCACTGGAATATGGCTTTTTTTGTTATGGCACGCTGGACATCAGTGTAGCACTGCTGTGATGCTTGAATGATAACAAGCCTCCGGTCACTAGGTGGCAGCAACTCATAAAGTGGTTTGTATACAGATAAAAATATACACGTTATCAGGTTCTCAGTAGTATTTCAATTTGCGGGAGTGTGGGCCGGGGGGCGGGGGAGGGAGGGGGCAGTATTATATTTAAATACATGAAACTTTTTTCTTCTTCTTCTAATATGTTTAGTCATGGAGTTTAGTGATTGGCCACTGAACAAAAGAAAAGCACCTCAAATTAAATCTTTAATGACTGCAGACCCGTTACCACTAGAGGTCAGCGTAGCCTCGAAAAAACATTCTGAAAACATTAAGTATAAAAAGAAATACACATATTCATCCTGACTAAAAATATTTTAAAATTTGTACTTTACAACAAGAAAAGTTTTTTTAAAAGCAGTTCTGTGTCATACAAGTGACATGGCTGCCCCCTACTGGACCTAGTTTCCACTTCCACCCACAATTTCATCATGGAAATGAAAATAAGAAAAGACAAACAGAGGGAGTCATCCCTACAGATACACAAATAAATATAATATAAATGTATGATTCGACTCAGATCTCTTACCTCTCTCCCAGATGCCTTTTCCATGGCTTTTACGATCTGGAGCACAGAGTAGCCTTTTCCAGTTCCTAGATTGTAAACCTACACAGAGACAGTGAGGCGGAGAAATGTCACGGCACCAATAAACACCCTGACTGCACAGATAGGGGCAGTAAAGATACAGTATGTCCCTGAACGTACCTTGCAGCCGCCAGTCTCCTTCAGCTTCTTCAGCGCAGCTATATGTCCCAGTGTTAAATCTACAACGTGGATGTAGTCTCGCACCCCTGCACAGGAGAGGATGACATCAGTGTGAGTCATCATCAGTGAACGACCGACAGGTCAAACACTTTAACGTCACTTCAACACTTAAACTGATCCCCGGTGTAATGCGGCGTCACCTGTTCCATCAGGAGTGTCATAGTCATTCCCAAAGACGTTGAGACAAGTTCTTCGTCCAATGGCCACCTGTGAGAAGAACAGGTGACAAGTGACCAAACGAAACCGACGTTACTCAGATAAACTGACCAAAACATACTGGTGAGTGGGTTTATGGTACAAAAATATATGATATATACATATAATTATATATATAAAGTTTGGAAAACACTAACACTAAAAACACTAAAAATTTTCATCGGTTGAAACAAAAACATGAATTGCACATCAAGGTGTAAGGAGTAGGCTGCGTTATCTAAAAAAAAAAAAGTCACCGGTCATAACATGACATTATACACTCTAGTCCAGTAGGTAGCAGTAAGACGTCAGGTCCCTAGGCTAAGAGACGTTCAGGTGTTGGAACAGAACGTGGGAAGAACTTGTTGACAAAGAGAGGAGATCAGTGGATTTGATCACAGTTTGACTGGAGATCATTTGGTTTAAAAAAAATGATCATATCGTGAACAAAAACAGTAAATCAGATCATGATTTGAGTGTCTCGTTACATCACCAAAAACACCAGGATTCTTACGCTTTTTTATTGTTTTCAACTTAATATTTGTCTTACTCTAAAACCGCAGTTCAGTATTTATATCCTTTTCTTACAAAAGTTTTAAATTAAAATTAAAGTGAAAAAAAATTATGACCAGGTCAGTGAAAATGTTCGACATTTCAGTTATTTTCAATGAATCAATAACATTTTAGCCTTCTGACCAGCAGTAACAGAGAAATACCAGTGATAATAAAAAAAATGTTTTTCCCCTAACAAAATATTTCATCAAATATCTAATAAGACCAGGAAACTTTGAAGATGCCCTGAGAGTTCAGCTATCGACCACTTCCTGTGTCTGCAGCGGTTTCTGATGCAACTGTGGGTTTTTAATCAGAAAGTTCATTCTACCTGTGCAACATACGGCAGCAGATTGTTAGGGATACCCTGGGGGTCCTCTCCTATCATGCCTGAAACATGAGCTCCGATTGGGTTGAAATATCGCAGCAGCACAGCATTCCAGTCCTGCCCCCCAGAGGAAACAACGAGAAGATTAAAAAAAAAAAACACTTTTAGAAACAGTTCAGCGTTTTTAGGACTAAATCACTTTGGGCTTCTTGTCTTCATTGACGGTTGCCAAGGTGACAGTCGACATAATTTGTAGGCTTGAAGGCCACCCTGTCACATCCCTCCCCACCAGGGGTAGGAGCCTGGTGGGCCATAGGTGCCAGGTCGGAATTCAATTACTTCAACAATTTGAATTTTTTGTTATAATAATAATAATAATAATTTATTATTATCAATATAAGAAAAACTACAATAATAATTATTATTATTGTTTTTATTAGTAGTATTATCATATATTACCATAATAATAATAATAATAATAATAATAATATAATTATATTATTACTATTTTAATTATTGTTATTATTATAATTATTTTGTCTTCAACTGTGTCTGTAAACAGGCCTGGAGTAGCACAGTGTTTTGCTTGTTGTGCAGAAATTTCTGGGTTCTATTTCTAGTCCACAGATTGGGCTACATTAGGTACTGTAAACCAAACTGGTGTGAAAATTGTGCTAAATGTCAATGCAGTCTACTGCTGTGGGGAACCCGACTACGAGACAGGCCAAAAGTTAAATGTTCTCTGTGAACGTACTTTAAAAATTACATTTTTAAAATGCTCGTCCGTACTGTACCTTCTCGGCCAGGCAGTGGTCCTGGATCATCTTCTCGATGAAGTACTTGGTTTGTCCGTAGGGGTTGGTGCAGCCACCTACGGGATGGTTTTCGTCCAGGGGCAGGTACTGGGGTTCTCCATACACCGTGGCGGAGCTGCTGAAGACCAGATTGTGGACTCCATGGGCCTGCATCACCTGGGACACGAACAGGACACATGGTACAGTCAGCGGCGGGTGAGCACAGCGGTCTACAGCCCACACCAGCTGGGAGCACACACAACTGCAATGACCACTCACCTCCAGCAGGTTCATGGAGGCGATGAGGTTGACTTTGTAGTAGCGCAACGGATGCTCCACCGACTCGCCAACGGCCTTCAGACCAGCAAAGTGGATGACGGCGGTGAAGGAATGCTGGAATGAAAAGACACGCGGGGTGTGAAGGGCGTGGTCCCTCAGAGAAGACGTCAGCGGCGCTTAGAAACAAAACCAACTGACGTCACGACGCAATTTAAAGGGACAATTAAAGTATGGCTTTTATAGGAGAGGATTATTTGAACTAACATAGCAGGTACTGAGAACACAGAGTTACTTACAGTGATTCACCACATGTCATTCAGCAGAGGGTTATTAATTATTTATTAAGTATTTAATAATATTAGCTGTTGAAAAACGGTTAAAATTAATACAAATGGGTGACAATTCACATCGGTTGAAGTAAAAAAAAAAATCAAGGAGTAGGCTGGGTTATGTCAAAAAGTCACTGGTCATACCATGACATTACACACTGTTGTACAGTAGGTGGCAGTATACAAAAAATGAAATAAAATCAAATTGTGAACGGAAAAATTGTGAATCCCATCGTATCGTAAGTGCGGTGTAGGGAGGAATAATTTCCTTTAGCTTTAGATTAAATAACGACGTAGCCTTAGACGCAGGACTGACCTTTTTGAAGAGTTTTTCCAAACCAGGTTTGTCCAGAAGATCTAATTCATGGAACTCAATGCTAGTTCCCAGAATCTTTTCAATCCTTCGTAGACTCTCGGGCACATCCCCTTCTCCTCCATTGGCAACAGGATGTACACACACACACACACACACACACACACAAATATAGCATTAACCAACGAATCCCCGCCCTAAACAAACACACATTTACAACAACCAGAGGTGGGAGCTAACCTCTGACAGCGTTGCTGAAGTTATCAATGACGATGGGCTGATATCCTGCTTCAATGAGGCCCAGCACGCAGTGACTCCCGATGTAGCCGCCCCCGCCGGTGACCAGCACCTTTTCTGCCATTCTCTAGCGTAGAAGAAGAACAAGGTGAAATTTGCGGAATGTTTGTGTCCTCCACAATAATGAGCTACAACTGAATGTACACTTTGACCTCTTTTAACGGCCCGGCTGCCAAGACACGCTGTTCATTTATTTTAATTTTATTTAACTCTATTTTAGTTAGTTTATAAAACTCTATTTTTAAACTTAACTTTGACAGGGTGAAACTCTTTGTGCTACGTAGCACAAGTAAATATTTTTGTTTACTTTCATTCAAAAGAGTTAAGGTGGAACACTGGGCGTCCTGCTCTGGATGGACAGACAGTCTGAGACAGACATAAATGTCATCAAAATCAGACCTTTTAAAAACATTTGAATACGTTTTCTCTGTGCACTGACCATCATAAAATATGACAAATAAACTGCACTTTTACAAAAAAAAAATTTTTTTTGAATCATATGGCGCAAAGTCAACCTCACCTTTATGAATCATTACACAATCTTATTTAGTTTATGGCTGTAAAGTCCGACTATGAATTGTGAAAATGACAATTTAAAAAAACGGAAAATATAAATAATACAGGTGTTATAATCTAAAAAAAATATTTAATATTACCTGTCGTATAAAAATAATAATAATAAGACGATATAAACTAATATCTAATATTACGTGTCGTATAATAATAATAAGACGATATAAACTAAGATGTAAACTATTAATGATAGCTTATCCTTCAGGTCTGAACCAAATCTCTTTTAAAATTAAACTCTATGCATGGATTTCAAAATAAGTGCACGTACAGATTAAGAAGAGTAAAAAGTAAAGACTGAAGCACCGTGGACCGAAGAACCACTTCACGACAGAAATGTCAAAAATGCCCACACACAGCAGGAAACACTGACGCCGAGACCGACTCTATCCTGTCGAAACAACATCCGTTGTACAGTCTGACAAAATACTTACTCCGGGTGTTGTGTGTCGTTTGGTCCAACCTGTAAAAAGAGCACGAGAAACTACACTGTACAGAGAACTCAGACTTGACTTATATGTCAGTTCACTCACTGAAGTTTCCGCCTCTCCTTTTTGCTTGTCGTTACTTCCTGTTAAACGTCAAACGCCGTCAAATAACAAACTGCTACACCGTTTCCTGTATCGGTTTTTCACAATAAATTCCCAAACTCTTCCCGTTTTGGTAAACTATATCAAATAGAAACATGATGAAATCGTAAACTTTAAAATTCAATCAAGATAATTATCTGACATTACACCGAGCAACAAAAACCTTTGGCTAAACAGTTTTTTTTATGACCCAAACGACGTTCTTTGTTTTATTTTGAAATGTAAAACGCTTACGACGTGTGCCCTGCGGTAGTTTAACGGCTCAGTTGAAAGGCGTCATGTCCTCACATGCCACGGCGCCTGACGACACAGTAGTAGCGCCACGCCTTTGGCCATTAAAACAGGGAAGCGATTGTGCTGAGTGTTACAGTCTCTCATTAGACGTGTACCAGAAGGTAAAGGAAAAGTGCCACGTTACACCACCTTAGTTACCTCCTTCTGCCCCCTCCCTCCATCACCATCTTTCACTGCCTTTCGTTTGTTAATGCGTCTTAACCCTAACTATAATAGACACAAAGTCAAATTAAAAAGTCCAGGTTAATAATAATAATAATAATAATTCTCCTGTCTCTTTTGTGTCTTAGACTTTGGTTTCTCAACATCGGTTCTTGTTGTGGTCTGAGTTTCCACTTTGCAAAGACAGTAATACTTTCAATAGCAGACAGATCTGGAATGCAGGCAGGCCAGTCCCGCACACTTTGTTCATAAAGCAATTTTATACCGACAACAGAATGAGCAGGACACGGTAGCGTGGCCGAGCGGTCTAAGGCGCTGGATTAAGGCTCCAGTCTCTTCGGGGGCGTGGGTTCGAATCCCACCGCTGCCAGTGCTTTTGTCGGTTTCATGGTATAGCAGTTAGCCCCCCTGCCTCTGAAGTAAGGACCAGAGAGTCCTGGATTCGATTCCCAGAGGAACCACGTGCCCTACTAATAACTACCTGCTGCTAACACAAGAACTTCACAAATATAGGATCAATTAAGTTTAAATTATTGTATTTTCCGAACTACTCACACTTTTTAGTCACACTTTTTTTCACCCTTTGACTGGGGTTGTATTTTCCGAACTATAACTCACACTTTTTTTCACCCTTTGACTGGGTTGGCAACTTAAGTATTAAAATATGTCATTTTACGTTCGTTATTTTCACACCCACAGCCGCTAGAGGGCACTGGTGCGATTTATAGTCTGGAAAATACGGTGTATGGAAATGTCCAACAAAGTCAACTCACACTGAACCTTCCTGGACTTGTACATACGACCCTGTGAGTCTCACACTGTCACTGTACTGTAAATCTGGAAAATAAACTTTATATTTGTCTGGAAGAGTTGCAGGCACTTGTCAATGTTTTAGAAATTTAAATCTGGAAAATAAACTTTATATTTGATTTCTCAAAACGAATCCAAAACCGTTTATGTTGTCGGACAATGTCCACATTGTCCTTGTGCGTCATCACACAATCTTAGTCTAAAGAGATTGTGGCTGAAAACGTCCGACTGTAAAACTGTCAAAATGAAACTGAAATGTCATAAAGTCATTAAAACTAAAACTTGACATTTCTGTAAATCAGTATTAGATTTTTTTTTATTTGCAGCAGTGTTAAGGCGACTTTTATTTTATTATAAATTGTAGTCTTTCTGAAAGGTTACATTTGTAGCCTTTTTCTTTAATGCTATTTTTTTTCTTTTTTTTGCTAAAATGCTTCATTATTATAGTATCTCTGAAAAGCTGTTGCCAAATATTTGCTGGCAGAGCTGAAAGACCATGAAAATGCTTTTCAGAGATTCTCGGCCAAATACTTAGAGAAGTTTTTTTTCTTGAACAGATTTTATACTGACTGATTTAGAACTTGGTCGTCACTGTGATGTATTTTCAAAACACTTAGAAAACCTGCACAAACCTGGCTTTAATAATCAAACGCCACACAGGGGAGACTGGGAATTGAACCTGTGACCTCAAACCACTTTCCCACTGTAATCCTTTCAGATGAAGACAGTGACAATCTTGAACTCTGTAAAACAGGAGTGTCAAACCCATGGTCCGGGGGCCAGTCTCAGGTGACATTTATGTTTGTGTTTATACATTTCCAAAAACAACGCCTTCAGTGACAGAAAAGTCTCACGTATGTAAACATTCCTGCCACAATTAGCATTAGCTGCTGCTCATGCACACATTACCTTCAGGCCGTTTAGGGAACTGTCCTTAAAGGGGCATTTTTTTGACTTGAATTGAACAACAGCAATGATACTGTGCCGAGCTAATTGCACAATTATATTCTAATATCTAGCACAAATGGAATAAAAATAAAAATAAAAATAAAAATAAAAATAAAAATAAAAATAAAAATAAAAATAAAAATAAAAATAAAAATAAAAATAAAAATAAAATTTTTTTTTTTAAATTTGTAAATTCTGCCCCACAAAAATTGCACTTTTAGTTAAAATAGAGACTTTGTACAAGACAGAAGTGTGGAAATATTTCTGTTTCTCTTAAACATTTCCAATTGTAACATTGTAACAGATACCTAACTCAGATAACTCAGATACCTGAGAGACGAAGTCTTCTCGCTCCCATTCACTGAAAACGCTGCCTCCGTGTCAGACCGGACGTGGAGCTGATGAAGAAATCTCAAGGAGAAACAGCAACAACATGAAGAAATATTTCAGCAGGGGAACGTGGTCACAAAGAAGGGGGCAACAATCCAACCAGTCAGAAGAGGAGGCAGAGGAGAGGGGACACAAGGAAGTGTTTAAAACTCAGAGGAGGACAAACACGTGGCTCCCGGATGGACCAACGCCCCCCCCCTCTATCTGCCATGTATTAGTTTCAGCGTGTAGCCCTTTTTACAGCTTCATTCTGGGTCAGCTGTGTGTTTCAGTTCAGTGAAGCAGGTCAGCAGAAGAACAAAGGTTTCATTGTGCGAGGATTACAGTAGGAGAAACGACAGCGGAACTTGTTGCCCCAGTCGAACGTGTCTCAGGGCATTTAATTTCATCTTCAACTCAGTTTTACTGAATATGAGAAAATGATTTTTTCCCCTGAGACAAATATCCTCTGCTTTAACTGTAATAATATAATATAATATGATAATATCTTCTTCTTTTTCTTTCGGCTTTGACCCTTTTCCAGGAGTTGCCACAGCAAATCATTGATTTCCATCTCTCCCTGTTCTCTGCATCTTCTACTCTGACTCCAACTATCTGCATGTCCTCCATCACTGCATCCATATATCTCCTCTTTGACCTTCCTCTCTTTCTCCTACCTGGTAGCTCCATCTCTAACATTCTTCTACCAATGTATCCACTGTCCCTCCTCTGCACATGTCCAAACCATCTCAATCTGGCTTCTCTAGCTTTTTCTCCTAACCTTCCTGTCTGTGTTGTCCCTCTAATGACCTCATTCCTGATTCTGTCCATTCTTGTCACTCCTAAAGAGAATCTTAGCATCTTTAACTCTGCCACCTCCAGCTCTGCCTCCTGTCTTCTGCCTACTGCTACTGTCTCTAAACACTATAATATAATTTAATATCATATCATATAAGAACTATTTAAAATACTTTAAAGCCACTTTTCCAGGTCGTTTTATTTCGCTGCTTCATAGTTTTTGAATTTTTATTGCAGTCTAGCAACTTTTGTTTTAGCATTTTCAGAAATGTTTTGTTAATATTATTATTTTAGTTTTTTTATATTAATTAAAAATGGTTATGCTTTATTAAGCTGACTGGGCTAAGAGATCAGTTTGATTTTTTTATATAATTTTGGATTACCTTCATTCATTGCCGACATTATCTTTTATCTCTCGGAAATTCCGATGTGTTTGGACAATATCGGTAAATTGGACATCAGACATCCCTAAAACATATATATATGTTTATAAATAAATACATTTATATATATATTTGGACGACCTTTAGGTACAGTAATTAAAGCTAATTTCAGCATTTTTTGTCTTAGCATTTCATTGCTAACATTTGACTGATGCTATCTATTTTGGCTAACCTTAAACCTCGTTTGTCTTTGGTTGTTGTTTTTATTTTTTAATAAAATGTGTCGCGACGTCTACTTCTATCCGGACTTATTTTGAGTTTCTCTCTGCTTTTTTTGTTGTTGTTTTTCGCCCTCGTCTGCTGAGCGTTTCTTCAATTTGCCAGTGATTTATTTCGTTGGTTCAAAGACTCTATTGTTTTCTCCCCACTGTTGTTGGAATTAACTCGTCTCCCAGGACATTTGTTGACAGCTCCTCCGTCCTTACAACACAGCGCAGATGAATTCAATTACCACAGCTGACTCCAGCTGCGTGGGTGGCTTCTGCTGAAGAGTTGAACCCACAACCCCCGAGCTGGGCCTGTGGACTCTCTCTGTGTGGAGGTGAAGGGTGGGGCTCAGATGTTCAGTTGTATGTGGAGAGGGTCCTGTCTGCCAGAGGGACGTGTCCCAGGTCTGGACAAGGGTCTTCACGTGTGTGCTGGGATGAGGGGTCCATGTGTGGCCCAGATGTGTGGCCCAGATGGGTGGACCAGATGAGAGAAGATGTCTCCTTTGTTGTGGCTCCTACTAATAAAAGGCAAATATGTGTCGACTCCAGAGGAAGTCGACCACAGATCTGTAAACCAACTGGATGGAACACTGGTCCTGGGGAAGATGGGTAAAAAAAAAAATTGGCGGTCATTCCGACTCGACTCCATCCTGTTCATTCATCTTTGGCGGTCATTCTGACTCGACTCCATCCTGTTCATTCATCTATGAAGCTGACGGATGTTGATATCGTTTAGGCTCAGTGAACTTTCAAAATAAGACATATTTTAGATTTTACCCCAGGCACAGGCAAACTACGGCCCGGGGGCCACGTGTGGCCTGTTGGCTTTTTTAATCCGGTCCGCCAAACTATTTTGTTAATTTATGTTATTAATTTATTCTATCATTTATATTTCTACCTTTTCCCTGCAATGCACACATTTCCCCAATAGATGGTGTAGAAACGGCTGAAACCCCCCCTCAC